AATATAAGACGTACGAATACATCTGTACCCAAACACGTACATACGTATGGTGCAGTAATTTCTTATATATCGTTTGATATATGTATGTATGAATTTCCTTTAATATAAGAAAAAAAGATAAAATGAAAAAAGTATTTCTCTCACAATCAGTGTCAATCTTGTAAAATTTCAAGTACAATTCAATAAAATTCTTTTTTTTTTAACTGAAAAAGATACTATCGTGCCAAACACGAATCATTAATCTAGGACAACATTTCAAAATATTTAAATGATACAGTTTGAGATTATGAGAGTATAAAGCCTTAAACACAATGCGGAGGAATAGCGATGGAGATAGGAATAACACGATTTCAATCTATCAGAAAGTGTGTATTCCAGTGTACCTAATTTCTGAAATCGTGTTGTTCCTATCGCTATCGCTGTTCCTTGGCATTGTGTTAAAGACTGAAGGCCCTGCACACAATGGAGGAAATATTAGGAATAGGAATAAATATTATTTCAACCTATCAGAAACCGTGTATTCTAATGTACTGACGTTGAGTATTATCTGCTGGTAAATTCGGCACACGTGCACTGACTCCGCTCTAGTGCTGCTCTGACATGGTGCAAGTGCAGAACCACTTTAGTGCTCTATGTTAGAGTATAGATATCTAAAACTCTATCCTATGTCAACGCTGAAAATCTGCAGTTTACGTTATATATATTATACATTTTCAGTAATGAATTTCGTGGAACTCAGCCGTACATGATGTAAAGCCAGATATATGACTGCGCATTATGATGTCACGTGTCGTAACGTAATGTGTAATGAACCAATAAGAAATGACCAAAAATGCAGCCCCGAAGTTCAAATGCTAAATTAATATATATTATACGCTAAATTAACTCATTAGTTCTGAATGATATTTTTTCTTTGATGTTTTTACTGACATTTTTTAATATAATTAATAATATTTGACTGAAAAGATGGAAAAAATTGTTACGAAAATTTTTCATTAGTTCCCAGTGTCCTATTTATAGAAAGTTTTGCACGATTGTATTGAAATCTGGATTTCATAAATTGTATTTTCTCAATTGTATACTCAACGCGTCACAAGTAACGCGTTACCTGCCATCCCTGAAAAATACTTACAATATATGTCTTTGACGTCCTTTAGCTTTTACCTGCTCTTAAGTTTAACAAAGCTTCTAATTTTATCAAGAAATATGGCAGTGTCTCGACATTAAGATATACTTAACTTCCAAAAAAAAGTTCGAGTAAAAACATGTTGAATAAGTATAATTTCATTAATATAAGGCGTGAGAAAATTCAATTATTGAATTTACCCTTTCAATTATATTTCAAAATTTATCATATAAAATATAATAATTTCAAAACTTTACATTAGTTAACTGCGTAATATAAAAATAATCAATGTGTAAATACAATGTGTTATTTTTTCATTCTAACTTCCCGTTTATATTTATTTAAATTGATTTATCATATTGTTCTGAAATATATTTTCTAACAATTCAGTTTCATAAATTTAAAAAAAAAATTGTAAGAAAAATATTTATTTAAAAATACATAATATACTACGTAAGTTTATATAAAGGAAGCAAGTTGTTACATATTTCCGAATAAATACTGCAACGAGATCTGTCAAAAAATTTACTCTATATTATATTACAATACAATATATTACATATAGTTTTAAATATAAAGTTTTAATTTATTTATCTGACATTAATAAAAATATTAGTAGGTGACACTTGTGACAATCTATCTTATAATGGGGCAGGTTGTATTACAAATGTTATTCGCCTTGTCATATTCTTTTTAATGTGAGATAAAAAACTTTAAAAAACTTTTATAAAAAAAGAAAAAATGTACGCGCCACAAATGTACGCTTATAAAATTTTGCCGTACGATGAAATTTTCAAGCGTGTTAATTGGCTGTAGGACAGAGAGATCCGAGATCCTCTTCGTCTCGCAGCCCAACAAGTTTGAAAAGCTTGGTCTAGATATCTGGTAAATGTAAAAAAAAACGAATAAATGTAAGAAGACGGGTAAATATAATTTAGTCTAAGTACATACAGATATGACAGAGTTAAAAAATGAAGGGCTCGATTTTGTGCCCGCATTGGCTGTACAGCATAGAATATAGTAGCCTTCAAGGTTGAGAGTATAAGAAATTATATTAAATTTTATCAAGATTCAACATAATATAATTTTGCTTACGTAGATAAACATATAATAGATATTATAACCGTTGATATTTAAATCAATTTTAATTTTCATGTAAATACTTCTAAAATGGCTAAAAAATCTCGATAAATGTATAAAACTTTTTTAGAGTGTCACTATATGCATTAAAAATGTAATATGTTATTAACAGTTTCATGGCAGAATATATCAAACATATTCGAATAAATGAGTCGTACATATTCATCCACATTAAATTTGTATTCCACTGAAAAGAAAACCGATTAACATTACGTCAACTAATATAGAATGTGTACATTAAAAGAAACGGAAATTTAAATAACATTTTGTATTTATCATGTAAGTATTTATTACGTATGTCGTTGTCGATGATATTAGTCTGTTGTGACTTCTCGGAAGAGAAAGATAGCAGCCATCGGAAACATTTTACTACAATCTATATTTCGTTTCGTTATAATTGTTGTGAACATAGCAATTAGCAGTGGAAATTGTATCTCAATAGTACAATTTTATTACATAGGGTAAGTTCCTAAAAGGATAATATTTTATTTGTAGTGTGCACAATAGATTATTTTTGAAATAATGGAGTTGTGAAAACATTATTTGACTTTTGACTAAACGTTACGTGTTTAAGAATATGTACCTACGTAAAAACTGAATTAAATGATAGCTTCAAATTATGTTCTTCAAACGTTTTCAATAAAAGTTTTATTTCTTTAAAGCAGTAAAATATGATCATTTTAATGCTGTTTTGTTAGGTACTTTATGAATATAATATGCTATAACTTTTGCTGTTTGTAAAATATTCGTATATGTTTTATGACTTAAAATTAACTTGCCTTAAAAAAATGTTATAGTACAAAGTAAAATTTTTTGTAGTTATTCGTAAGATATTCATACGACTTTAAAATATCAACAAAAAAGCAATGTACATATTCAATAAAAAATATTTGTTAAAATAAGAAATAAAAACGTTTTAGAATTTATCGTTGGTGTAACAATATCTTTAACATAAACACAACAGTGCTGGAAATATTACTAAAATTAAGAATGTTTAGTGTTCCATTAATATAATTATAAACCAATAAATCAATCAATTGGGCTCTTGAGATAACTAATTAAAATACATAAAACTAAATAGCGGGCAATTAAGAGCCTAAAAAACGCAGTAATTCGTGCGGTACTTATATACATATAATTGAAAAATTATCTATTACATGAACGTTTCGGCTATATTCAAGCCATCCTCAGCGTTTTACAGTTCATAATCCTAACAGGAAGACGATCCAAAATTCAGACCATGGAGTGCAGTAAGCAAATCTCACGGATTACCTTATCCGGAGAGTGAGTGTAACTCTCAATTAGTTGATTAACTGATTGAAATGTACACCATAACTGCACACAAATATATATTCCATAAATTCAGTTGACAAGAAAGAAATATTAAATAAGTTATAAGACGACATAACGTTCGCAGTGTCAATCGTAAAGTCAACTGGCTTGAACATAGCCGAAACGTTCATGTAATAGATAATTTTTCAATTATATGTATATAAGTACCGCACGAATTACTGCGTTTTTTAGGCTCTTAATTGCCCGTTATTTAGTTTTATGTATTTTAATTAATATAATTATAATTACAATAATATAACGATTTCGATAACCTCCCGCCCTCCCTCTCTCCCCCTCACTCTCTCTCTCTCTCTCTCTCTCTCTTCCCCTCCCTCTCTCTTTCTCTGTAATCACAGACAGCTATGTGCATTGCTTTTTTATTGATCATCATTAGTATCCTATAATTTATTAAAAACTTCCTGGTATATATTTAGAACGGCAACCGGAGCAACATGAACGTAGCACATATAAGTAGCACCGTAATATTTATCATAGCGATAATTATTCTCAATAGTAAAGAAGTAAACAATTTTAGCGTTCCAAAGGAAGCACGTTCACCTTATAACGTGACACCCGTGCATTATCATATAGAGATACTTGACTACACAGTTTCAAAAGATCAATATGCCGATAGGAATGCTTTCATTTTGGACACGATGGTCAATTTAGATCGTAGTAATGGATCATTTGTTTTTCATGGAAAAACCAGTACAACTATTAATATCCTTGAATCGACTCAATATATAAGATTGCATCAATTACATATCTTGATAGGTCGTCAAAATATAAATTTGACTACATATAGCGGTATAATTTATGTATTGAATAAATACAGTTATAACTATAACACGAATATTTTAGAATTTGTTTTATCTTATATATTAT